GAAATTGGGCTAATGAAGAACTGTGCTTTCTAATACCTGGAATAGTAAGTGGCAAAAACATGCTTATGCTTTCTGGACCCACTGCAATATTGAAAGAATAATCTGCCAACACCTAGCTTCCTCAGTTTCCTCGGACAATGTCCTAAGGCTCATAGGCGGTAAAGGTAGACTACAGACTCTCATGTTAGATTAGCCCTGCAGAAATGTCTCGGAGGATAGAATCAAGGACAATGAATGTAGGTTGTTTTAGATTTTTTTTGAGATACAAACTTGAGAGGCATGAAGTGCAATTTTAATATTTTTTCTATTATAAATATTAAACCAAAAACTTACACTATATATAAAATCTTTACAATCTGTACACTTTTTCAATCTTCTTTAACAGCCTTAAAACAAAAATTCTACAGGTTGCCATTAACATAGATCAATTGCAACAAAATAACAGATTGCTTCTAGAACAGAGACAAGGGTAACTTTCTGATAGTTCCAAAAACATATGTAAGCTACTTTTAAAGGTAGCTTTTTAATCTATTAACAGTAGTCCTGCCTTGTTAATTCTGGTATCACTCAGTCAACTTATATCTTCAAAGGATCAGAATGCAAACTCAGAAAAAGACAGTAATTTGGTTTGTGGGGGAGGGCAAGAGGGCACACTGGGGTTTTTCTTCCTGTATGCACAGCTGGGTCAGGGAAGGAAAAAAGGTAGATGCTTTTCATTTTTACTAGCCATGACAAGATACATTTTAAAGGGTGCTAAATATCAGCAATGTATGCTAAGGTGATTTTTAAATAGCACTTGGTACTTTATCTTTTTTCTGAGTATAAACATCACGTCACGATGATTACAGATGCAGGTGACTTTTTCAGGAACTCTGTGAGTGTGTGTGTGTGTGTGTGTGTGTGTGTGTGTCAGTTTCAGTGCTATGCCTGTGCAGTCAGTTTCTGTTATTAACTTGGGCCTTTCATGCAGCAAAAAGGGAAATTCCGAAAGTAATGAGGGAGTATCACCACTAAATTTGGCAGGGCTCTGGGCAAATGAAGAACCTGAAGAGAGCTCTGACATTTTCTATTTTCAATTTTACAGACTTCTTTGAAGTAGGAAGTTTTCAGCATACGTGAAGCACCCACAGGCTTGTTGTGTGAGAGGCTCCTGCAAACAGATCCCTTTCAAATCAGTCAGATGATTGCAGATTCCCTTGTGGCCTCTTGCTGTTTCTAAGTTAGCATTTAAGACTGTACAAATCTGTAGTCAAAACTGAATTTTGAGTATTAAGTTAAAAGGGCCAGTCTTACTTCTGCTTCTTATCAATTTTGTCAGTATTGTAGGGTTTCCGACCCTAACACAGTAGCCTGTAGGCCAGCTGCTGACGTTAGGGGATTTTCTTTGCAAGTATGGGTTTGTTCATGATTGATTGATTTTCACAATAGCACTGCTGAAGTATTTTCCAAATACATGAAAATATATTCAACATCTATCTTGTTCATTTTAATTGCTGTAAAAATATACCTTTATTTGCTAAATACCTACTAGAAATACTCCTTGGTATATAGCTCCTTTCATAGAGAACAAAAATAAGTGCTTACAGAGTATGGGCAAAGCAAGTTTGCAAACGTGACCCAAGAGCCATTTTGATTACTTCATTGATCACAAAGTACAATTTTACATTAACTGTTAAAAATTCAGGTTTAGTGTATGAGGAACAAAAGCTGCTGTTCTATCGCGTGCCTCTCAATTCTTTACATACCATACATATTTACAGTAAGGTAACAGAAAAGCAGACAGTACTACTGTCTCTCTCCATTTGGTTTTACTTAATCACGGAGATGCAAGCATGACTGAAGTTCAGATCAAGAATTTGAAATCACCAAATTTGGTATGGATGGAATATTCATCTGTACCACTTTAAACCCAAGTACACATGCTATTATAATAGGTCAACTAAAAATCAACTTTATTGTGGACTTTGTTCTTGTAAAGTAACTTCAGAGTTTTAAAGAAAGAGCATTAGTATACTTTATGAATAAATTTCTCCAAGTCATAAGTCTGTGATGTTTAAATATCTGTGATGACAAATCCTTATTTGATAAATGCAGGCAAATTTTATACAACTGTAAGTAAGTTTAAGAATTTTCTTGGAATACAAGTGGAATTTTCAAGTTGGCTATGTCATCTCCTAACAGTATGTATGTTTTGTAGCTTTAAGAAAACTAAGTTACCTCACTAGCACCATTTACTGTACAAAATTTACACATGTAAAAGGATACTTATCTTGACTATTTACCTAAAGTGCATGCAAGTTCTAAAAGAGAGAGGAAATGGAGAAAACCTGGTCAGCACTGGAAGATGTTAGAAGTTCTAGGATACAGTCACTGTTGCATTGGGATTACTGTACACTTTCCTTCATAACATGGCCTTTAAGGTTCTACTCAGAAGATGCTATAACAGTGATGTCATTTTTACGTAAGACAAAATAGGTGGCCTTGTTCCACATCTAAAGTACATGGTCAACAAGCGATCCCTTAAGCCCAATAAGTAAGGGTAAGTAAGTGGCCCAAGCTATAGCAAGGAACACAAAAATAGAAGCAGTATTCAATGTAAACTCTCTGTACTCTTATGTATTTTACTTTCACAAAGGTAAACATTTGAGCAGCAGTACTTCTAAGCTCTGAAAGAGTTTAAAAAAATTGTCAGTTTATCCTAAAAAAAAAAAAACACCCCTATGAATCAAATAATCAAGTAGCATTAGGTTAACTGCTCATTTTAGTATTCCTCTTAAACTGTGGCAGTAGTATACTTCATGATTCTAATTGATTTCAACTAAAAGGAAAAGTAATTGTATCTCTCTTAATGGAATATTTCTGCAGTTTTATTTAAATGCTTAGCTTTATCAAAAGTTTGTTTCTACAAACCTGAAATTGGGCCAAATTTGAGTTGACAAGGCCCTTATGAATAGCTGCTCTGTCAGAATACTTGCAGAGTAAGATGTGCTGCTTGCAGTCAAGTCACTGGCAAATCCATGTCATCCTCATTATGAACTTCAGGAACAGTGTAACTCCTTCTTAAAAGCAGTTCCAGAAGATACCGCTTTCACTGCTCAGAAGACACTCCTTTGACTTTTTAAGGTAATCAATCAAATGCATTTATACATTGGGGAGCATATTTTTTAATAGGGAAATAAAAGCAGCTTTATCACATCCCCTCCTTCAGTCTTACATTCTTCCATAGCAAACTTCCCGTTGTATCTGCTAGGTACAGTCTCGTATGTTGTCCACAACATGATTTCTTCTCTGGATTTTGAGAGATTCAATTGTTTTATGTGCCTGTTCAAGCTGGATCTTTAAAGCGTTATTGTCTGCCTTTAGACTATTTAGTTCCTAAAGAAAAAAATAGACAATGGTATTGGATTTTTAAATTAGTTTCAGGACTGTCTGCTTCTGTGTTTCAGCTGACTGGCATAAATCACATGTTTTGAGGGTTTTTTTTGGGGGGGGGGGGGAGACAATATGTAACTTCATTAAGTAGTTACTGAGCACAGAAACAATAAACGGCATGCTAAATGCAACTGTATACATGTATACCAGTTAGTTTTCTCTTTTCATCTGTCAGGAATGTATTTGACTATTTATTTGATTTATTAACCATTTTCTCCCTACAGAAGTTGTGTTTTTTTTTTTTTTTCAGTGTGATGTGCAGGTAATACAAATATACAGGTAGGTAGAAATAAATAATTTTTTTTCCCCACAAATGACAGCCTCTCAAGGCAGACAGATTTTTTTTCTTAGTCCCAACAGTATAGTAGCTGAGCTCTTTCCTCCATTTTTTCACTGCAGGCATTGCCATTAGCCAAAATTCACTTTATGTTAACTCTTCTGATGTCTGTAGCACTGAGCTGTTCATCATGTCTAGGGTTTTAATCATTCTTTTTGAACACACCCCCTCATACCTGGGACAGGAGGCAGCTGATTTCTACTAAAGCATTAGATAGTGACTTGAATCTAGTTTTAACTCCAAGAGTTATCACAGGCCTGTCGCATCATTTTGTCAGGGCTAAAAAAAATCATTTTTTTTTGCGCTCAGTAGGGACACTTGCATTTGTTTTCCTACACCTTTAATCTATATTTAGGGCTTGAGTTACCTCAGAGAGTTGGAGGGGTTTGTTTTGTGTTGTTTTTTAATTTCATTGTAATATAAGTTGGTGTGGTGCTTAACAGTGGAAAAAACCAGTTATTTATTTTAGTGTCTTCACTGTAACTGACCTGTCGCCTTTGTGTATGTCCTTAAAACTTTCTAGCAGCTGGTATGTGAAAGTCATCTCCACAACCTGCATGTGTTCACCCTCCACTGTTCCCACAACAGCCAGTAACTTAGGGCAACAAGACTTTACTGCTCTATTAATGCAGAAATTACTGTACAGTAATTTAGGACATGAATTTATAACATCAGCTGCTGTGCAGAAATTGAGGTCAGAATCTGGTGAGGGAGAAAGGACAACAGGCAAATCATGGGACTCATGTGGAAGGACATTCCAAAGAACCAGTTCTTACAGGTACTTCGTCACTTCAGGCCCTTGTTTATATGGATTGTACTACTGACTGAAAGAGGAGTGATCTGTGCTGGAGGATTCTTGCTAATTGTGTTAAAGAACCTCTCTCTGTCTTATTTAACCAGTTGTCTTCCATATATGTCACTTTTTGCATGTGTTGCTGTTTTGCACTGTCTTGACCCGGGGGCATTGACAGAGAAGTTGGCCTATACAGTAGAATAGGATCACAGTCGTGGTTTTAATTCAGGGATCTCCTCTGGTCTGTTAGGTAATGCTGCCTGAATTGATTTGCTGAGAAAGCAGTTCATATATGGCAGGTTATTACTAGTAGATTGAGGGAGTGGATGCTGTAGTTGACAAGTTTCAGCATTTTATTTCTTCCTTTCACGGCACCTTTTTCTGCTAGCATACTGCACTGAAGATACAGCACCTGGTGGAATTCAAGTTAAAGAGCTCGCTTCATTAACAGCAAGGACACTTTGAAAGTGATGTTCATTCAAAGATCAGGATGTTTATACAAGAACAGGTTTTCAGACTGTTTTCATGTTAGGGACATCTCAGACTGAGTACAGTTTTGAAAAAAAATCCACCTCTGTTTATCTGATAACCACATCTGGATTTACCCACCAGTTGCAGGACTTACGTAAGCTCTTGATATTGTGATACTAGCCTGGAAAGGTGCTTTCAGCCACAGCTGGACTGATGCAGGTGAGCTCTAGCAAGAAGCATCATGTCTATGCACAAAGCAAAATTGCTTGGTGACTTAGTTATCCAAAACAAAAAAGGAAGGGGGAGGGGATTACCAGTTGATCAATGAGAGCAGTGCCCCTATTCACCCAACCCAGCATATTCTGTCATACAGGGGAGCAGAGGACAACAAAAGCATCAATTCCTGAAGTTGAAACTAATTCAGAACTATGAAAATGACAGCAGGAAATTTTTCTTCTGGGTAACTGGTAGGTTCTGTGAGACACATTTTCAAGACCAAGACCCTGAAGGACAATGACAAAAACGTGGAGACCGTACACAAAACAATCTGATTTTAGTGAAGCATCATTTTTATTCCTCCTTCTCCTATCTGTCCCTATCCTATGATGTCGTATATATCCAATAAGCTCATTGGAATGTGACCATCATTTTGTCTGCTTACAAAATGGCACAGTCACACGCTTTAGTGCTGCGGGACACAGTCTACTAAGTGCTATGACAGAAATATATATATATATATATATATATATGCAAAATACATAAATTTTTATATAAATTCCTCTGTGCTCTGTTGATAGAGATTTGAAAGCTGTAGATTGAATTTCAAGTGCAAATACACTAAAGAGACTATTCTGAACATGAGCTACTGAAGTAATATAACCTTAATATCCTTTCAAAGCTCTTCCTTTTAATGGCTTTGTTAGATTCAAGGTGTTTGTCTGGCTGGAAATTATGCTGCCATAGACTGGTTCAGTACTTATGAATTGCTGAAGATGATGTCTTGGCCATTGACTGACCTTAATGTTAATTTAACTTCATTTGCATTCTTTTCTCTCTCGGTACTGATGATAACTTATTCAAGAATAGAATATTATATTTGAGAATCAGTGGCTGAACGCTTGTCTGGCTGCAAGAATTCTAAGGAATAAGATTTTTACGAGTGTTTCAAATCTTCTTCATTACAGTAGATGTAGGCCACTTTGGCTGTCTGGAATACAAGCGAGATTGCAGGCAGTCTGCAATGGGGTGAGCTCAGAAAAATTCTTACCTATTTGTAGACCATGAGTATCTCGTCTCAGCTACAGTATAAGGAATATATTTCAAGGTCCGTATTGATTAGCATGACCAGCAGGAAGTGTTAAAGAACTTCTGTACCTGATCTTGAACTATTACAGCTTCGCTCTCCAGAGCCTTGTTCTGTCAAACTTGTTTCAGAGACCACCATAGAATAATCTTCAGGTAGTAAAGGTAGAGGGGGGAGTATCTCATCAAGAGAAAGAAGGAGCTGCATTTTCTGCTATTAATGCACTTTGTAAAATTCTAGGGAGTTATTTCACTCATATTGGGAGTGATTTCTAGACATTATTTCTGAGAGGTTGATCACTGCTCTAAGAGTAACCAGATTATTTTAAAATGGAAGATTGAGGCAAACTGGACCCATGCACACAAATAAATGCCAGAGAAAGTAGAAAATATGATAGTCCGCTTCCCTAAGGGAGGCTGAGATTACATTCATAGCTAAGAATATAGGAAGTAATAGTGGTGGGATAGCTGCCAGAGGGTTCAGGATGGATACCAACTGAGTAGGTGTGCCAATGCAAGTGTCCACAGTGAATGCTGTTGACACTAAGATGACTGTTGTTAGTTTCTGTGCCAGAGATGTGCCAAGAGGAGGTAATCAGATTTACACGTGCATTAAATCTGACTTAGCTTTGGATTTGCTATAGATAGGACTCCAGCTCTACCTCAGCCTGACTAATGCCTTGAAGAGCACAGGAAGAATTGTTCACCAGGACATTACAGAGGGAGAGCCAATGGCTTGGGAACCTTGTTTTTCATGATGGCAAGCTTGTTACATGTAATTTTTAAAATGAGAATCCTACTAGATTATTTGATGGGATTTCTTCCACCAGAGAACATAAGCAGATGACGGCATGAGCTGCTTGTAAAAAGGGAAAGTTAGAACCCTAGGTCTTTGATACCAGTGTACTGCCAGTAAACTGCAAGGAAGCAAGGTATGTCTTTTAGCCAATAGGTAGGTAATGCATTTGGAATACTAATCGTTTCTATAAAATTGCCTATATAATTAACTGTGAAACCTGTCTAATCAGTCATTAATATCCGTTCCCTCTTACAATCTAAAGCAGAGTCCAAAGCAAGACATTTCATAGAACTCTGTATGGTGTTTGATTACATCGGGAACACGAAGACATGCAAGGCATAAAGGAGGACACTATATTCTAGAAAAATTCAGACTTGTCCACAGAGCTGGTTCACCAGCACTGGAATCCACAGAGAAAAGGACACAGAAAACTCTATTGTATCAAGTGTCTTCAACAGTCAAGTTGAAGGTATTTGAAAGTATCCCAATCTAGGTTGGGATACTTAGGTAAATATTGTTTATTTTTAAATTCAAAAATTGTTAATCCTGTGAACAGGTTTCTTATTCCTTATTCAGTAATGGCTGATGTGCTTTTTATTTCTACAAGGTTCTATTCTTTAATTTACTGTTCTGTCTCAAGGTCTTAGCTTCTTATCATCTCCCTTATCATGACATTCAGGGATGAAGAGGTGTTCTCACATACTTGTTTCTTTGCGGTATCATTTTCTTATTTATCTTAGCATCTTCTCATCTCTTGCCAGGTTCATTTTTTATTAGTCTACGGAGATTCCATTGTCTTTATGACTGACTGAATACAAGTCAACACTTGAAGGGGGCATATTTATTTTCATTAGTTTCAGTTTCTTAAACTGATGACATTTCTCTCTCTTTCCATGGCTAAAAACTGTTAATATATTCAAGCCCAGAAAAAAAGAAATTAGTCAAGTTAAAATTTCAATAGCTAGGTCAGTATATCTGGATTTGAGATCTCTGTTATGGTGTATACCTAATAGCAATCTGTAGTGCATCTGGCTGTCCTAAGGAGTAAAATGAGAGAAGATTTCCAAATCTAAACACCCTGTGTTCTCTTTACCGTTGAGAACTTTATTTTTTGCCTAACATCGTCGTCTTCAATTTGTATCAGAGGTTTGGGGAACTTACGTCCAATTCCCACAACAAAAGTATGCCTAAATAAAAATGTGAACCTGGTTTCAACACACTGCCTTATGGTAAAAACATCCTGTCAAAAGGCATGTCAAAGAACAAATTCAAATTTCCCACTTATGGAAAAGTATTTCTTAAAATAACTGGTTTTATGGTCACATTCTTGCCTATCACTTTCAAGACTGATCAGTAACAATAAAAAAGGACCAAATTTATTCCCTAATCCCGATACCAGTCCTAAAACTTATGCTTGAAGTAAACCATCTCAGGACTTACACTGAGAAAGAATATGATACCCCTCATGCATTCTTCCAGCAATCAGTTACCCTGGAATACACTGATAATGTGAGGTAACACTTTCCCTCCCCCACAACCTCTTTACAGTACTGTTAAGTAAAGCAGAATTTATTTCATCATGTATGTACCTGCTCAAGTTCTTGGTATGAGGGTTTACAGCTGTGATGCTCTTTCATTTTCCAGCTGGAGTCTTTGTTTTCCCATTTAACATATGCCTTTCTGCGACTTATAAGTGGGCTTGGACAAGGAGATTGCGGAGCAGGCTGGAGATAAGTATTTTCTGGCATTCTATGCTCTTTCTTCTCTCCTTGCCTGTAAGATGCATCACTAGCCAGCAGTACAGAATCAGTCTGAGTACCCTTATGAACTACAGCTGGTTTCAGTCTCACTGAGATTTTCTGAGCTGAGGAACCCATGAGCATAATGGTTCGGTCCTTGCTGTCTTCACTGTGTTCCACTTCTCCGTTAGGAAATGTGAAGGGTCCTTCTTCTTGTCCTAGAGAATATACATGGTAAATTGGGTTAAAATCTTATCCCAGGAAGGGAGAAAGAAATAGGAAGTACAGTAATTAAACACAATTTTGAAAAATAAATAGGACAACATTTAACCGTGACTGATTTTACGTTCATTGCTCTCCAAAATTGGTGTCACAGGAGGTTTTTCAATGTAGTATCTCCTGGAACACCTCTTTGCCCATTCACAATAACATAAATACAGATTAATAGGAGGAAAACAGGAGTTAACCATCACGATTATTACATACCATCAAGGTCAGCCAGAGAAAAGCCTCTAGATAGCTAAGAAGTTTTCTACAGACCATTGATCTAGTGATCTGGGTGGAAGATTACACCTGTGTGTTATTTCAGCCTATCACAACTTGTACCCTTGCAGGTACAAACATAGAGATGCACATGCTCAGCTATCAAGAGAAACTGGCTGCATTGTCCTGCATATAAGTGCTAATGGGAAGCATGAAGTGGAACCCCACAGCATGAATCCTGCACTGAACACAAAACGCTGATATCAAATTGGCATTTAGAATTGTGAAAATTAGATACAGGTAAAGAGAAAGAGAGAAATTTAAAGAAAATGACAATGGATGCTTACATGATAATACCCAACGTAAAAAGTTTATATAGCTTGCTGGAAATAAGTGGAAAAGAAGAGAGGATGCATATTTTTCATTTCTAGTCAAACAAAAGGTACAGGGACCAAGAGGAGTTGTAGATTCAGCTAAAAAAGTGGAAAAAATAAATACAACCAGCTCTTCATTTTCCTAGTGCACAGATATGTAACTTTATCTTATAAACGCCACAATGAAATCTGAGTAGGAGTTGTAACAGTACAACACTTGCTTAATGTGACAATGGCCCCCTCCAAGAGGTTAAAAAAAACCCAGAATATACTGAGACCTGCTTGTCACAAGGCGGGAGAGAGAATAAGGGAACCTGTCTGCTCTTTAGTTCATGGCATCTAGTTCTCATAAGAATCTGGCAGAAGCTTTACTCAGCCCTTGTGGAATTTGTGCACCTCACATCAGGTAGTGTGAGGAGAATTCTCCCAGAAAGGGGGTGTTATTTACTTCTGTTCAAACCAGAACTCGGATGGGGGTACTCAGAACTGACTCACTTATGCTTGATTCTAGTTAGCCTGTTGATAAAACACCGCAGTTAACTAACAAAACCCAAAACAATGCTGCTGTTTAAAGCTGAACTCAGTTAGCTTTAAAAGCAAAATGCAGCAAACACAAGTCTATTACTCTTAAAACTGCTGCTTTGATCTTTTTCATGTGATCTTTCCTCACCATGAAACTGCTCTTTGACCCCTACTGGGCAGAGGCTTGAAGCAAGAGCTGATGTGGGGCTGCTATCTGCAATTGAAGTTTTGGATCTTCTCTTGCACTCTATCACAACCAGGTCTTTGCATTGCTTGTGACAGTTCATTCCACAGTCTGTAAACAAAACAAAATTTACATGATTTAGTGGCTTTGTTGTAACATCTAAGATCAGCTCTCACACTGTGCTGTCTCCTTAGGAAGCAGTAAAGCTTCTTCCATGTCCTCTATATGCATTATTTGAAACAATTTACAGTTGGTGAATAGACTAACCACATTCCTTTGCTGTATGCTCTTCAAACCACTTTTCATTATGAAAATACCAAATTGCAACATTCATTTGCTACAGAGTTCTGACTGTAGGAGTTGAAGAGAAAGCAGATACCTATACAAGGAAGAAAACTCTGCAAAATGCCTGTTATGAATCTCTTGCACTGTTTTCATAGATAGTTGGAGTTTGCCTCCCCATCTGGATAGGAGGGTCTGTTCCCAGACCCTCTGGATTCAATGAAGATTTGCAAAGGGATGCAGCTATCAGTTCCGAGTTCCTCTGCATTAGTTCTGGAACGCGTGTCTGTCACTTTATTCTTCCATGACAGCTTTCTCCTCTGAGAGGTCTGATTAAATAGCTACGTAGACAAAGCAATGCATCTCAGGGGTTGATCCTTTTTTTCCTTTTGCCATTCGCCATCAATTATAGATTAAAACTAACAAAGGATAAAGTATTTTACCTTTGCATCTATATCCTTGTTTAATGACTCCCCATAGCTGAAATTCAAACAAACAGAAAGAGTATGTATTAAGATATTTTCGTGTACCTCCAACTCCTCCAAATATAAAAATGTCATAAAAGCTCCACCCACTTCTGCAATCTAAGCACCTTCAAGAGAACCTTGGTTTTCTTTCTAATGGAAAAGTAGAAATATGAAATATATACTTCTTTAGCATGAAGTAAATAGAATATTTGTATGCATATTTCTTGATCACAAATAAAATAGCTTGATCTAGTCTCTAACAGATACCATCAGTAGGTCTGACAGCCTCCAAAGAAGCTGCAGAGAGGTTGCACAGGGAACTGCGAATCACAGAGTAGCGCTCGTGTTTGATCCTAGCTCAATTAGGGAGTGGTAGGGCAGTCAGTTTTACTACAACTTTCTGCGCTAGGCAGGAGGCACATCATAATCTTCACCAGGACAAGAGTTCTGGCAGCCTCATGGAAGCCTCTGAACTGGGAAGTCTTGCCAAGGAGTCACACTGCCAAAAACCAATGGGAGTAGGAGCCGTGTTAAAACAGAGGAAAGTACGGTCAAAGAGGAGCGTACGTGGTGCATCAAGTAGCTACACAGGCAACAAGCTGACATTCTATATGGTTTCACCGGTGTTCTGTGTAAGCACGTTTCTGTACGATAAAGGCGGATTATTTAGGCAGGAGAAAAAAGGATTTTGCTAAAAGATGTTGACGTAATTTACTAAAAAGTGAGCTTACAAATCCAGCACAGTTGTCGCAGAAAGTAGGCTTTAAGTAAGTGGTCTCTTGGAAGTTGTGAGCAAAGCCAAGTCCTAATTTGGAGTAGATTGAGCTAGCCCTCATAAAGTATGCTGTTATTTCATCCCTGCTAATCAGCCCTTCCCTGTAAATAAACAAGAAAAGTTATGAGGTATTCGTTCTTTAAAGCATAAGGAAAGTTAAACATACTTTTCTTTCACAATTTATAATGGCCACACTTTCATTGGCCAAAAACTACAGTGATGTCAGTAATCCTGTCAACTGCTCCCACAGTGTACAGCAGTTTATCTACGAATTAAAATGCAGCTTGGAAGGATAAACAAAACATTTGCATATGAGATGCAACCTCAAAACTACTTCATAGCGCTGAGTCAAATTGTTGCTTTGCCTGAATTCTGAAGCTAGCTCTCTGAGGGCAAGGAAACTTCTAAATAATCACTGTTATATTTTTCCATAATTTAATGTGTTAACAGAAGTATTCTTAATCTGGCCAAAATATATATATTTGACAATTTTCTGTATATATTTTGGAGGAACAGGTTCATCTTAGGAAAGTTTTTCAGTAGCATATACTGAATATTGTTCAAAAAAATATTTCTTTTCCTATTAACTCTGTTGTTCCTCATATGCCTGCCTGATAAACAGTGCTGTAAGCACATGAAGATGTCATTCACAACATGCTTAGAAGATGCCTTTGGCAGTTATATTTCCATTTCCATTCCTGGAAGAACAGAGGATGATTTTACCACCCTGATGATAGAAATGATAATAATAATAATAATTATAAAAAGCCCACACCCCCATGCACAGATGCTACAAAGTTCATATGCAGAATTGGGTTTAAAAGGTTTGTAAGCACTCACCAGTCTTTAGCCATTACACAAAATGAGAATGGAAAGCTGGCTGCAATCTTTTCAAATTCTTCCTGGGATATGTATCCATCTTGATCATGGTCATAATTTTTGAAGACAGACTGCATAAGAAGATACAATAGAATAGTTTAGAATGAGGGTGGAAGCTAGGGAGTAACTTTAGACGTTCTCCACAATATTTAGAGGTTCCCTCTCCCACTTTCCCTCAGTATCTATTAAACAGAGCAGCAATCTTTCTAACTGCTTTCTTTGCTTGAACCTAAGGAAGCATTATGATTTCTTGATTTGTAGCAAAACGCAGGTAAGTCAACACAGGCCAGTCTGAATGCTTCACTGCACAATTTAGCTTCTCTCCAAGATCATCATGGCCAGCCTTGATTTATACTAATTATGCTAATGTTCTCAATTAATGCTCTCAGTGGTGATCTCTATAACCCAATCAGTGTAGCTTCCTGGCTTATTTCATCAGATCAATGTTTCATTAGAAGTAGTTAAATGACAGAGTGGCTGTGCTGACACTTATTTCTACGTGTGGAGTGACATTACTGATTGTCGTAGGCCCTAAGGCAAGAAGCGTACACAGGCCTAATTTAGAGATACACTCCAAAGCACTATCAAAGGACAACCAGCAATATCAGAAGTTTTTAGAAAGAAAAGACATGAAGCAGGGGTGTAAAGACAAACTCTCTACTCTCTCTTCTTCTGTTGTAAAATCAATCAATCACCTGAACTTACCTAATGGTTCCCAGTAAAGCCAACAACCCAAAAGAGAGAGAAAAAGCAATGGCTGCTAGTAACAAAACCACTGAGAAGCCTACTTTCAGCCTTCACCAGGACCAATGCCAGAGTCCCAGAGAGAGATGGACTCCCTGGCTCCTTGGAAGAATGACTCTGGAAGTATACAAATCAGCATTCACACTACTGTCCGTTGAAGCTAGGCAGAAATATGTGTGAGGAAACAAGCGCTTACAAACTCAGCACAACTCTGAACGTGTCCGATACACTTTCCCTGCTCCGTATTTTTCATACTTAGAGATCAAGGCTACAACTGACGTGTGAGGTAACTGGGCCAACCATACTTACATCCACCATTCTCTGAACATGCTTGCTGATGGTTTTTGGATCAGGTTTTGGGGATACCCCTGAGGCCCAGTCTGCAACTACTGGTGGTTTAGAAGGTGTCAAAGGCTAAAATAAATAATGTGGAACTTTATTAGTACCGCATGCAAATATTTTCAGTCTTATGCTTCTTTCATTTGTGACAACAGACACTGTGACACGACTGCAGCAATTACCTGTCTCGTCCAACATCATACCTTTGGTAAATACCATACGTAGTACTTCAGAGGAAGCTCTTCCTTAAAGGTGTCCAAAACTGATCTTTTCTTAAATCATTACAGTTTACCGACAGCCCTGTAAATTCCCTTTTTTGTTGTTGTTTTTCTCCCCCCTGCTTTTTTTAAACACTAAATATCCTCTGCCATCATGTGTTCATCTGCTTTTTTTTCTGGATTGCCTCTGGCACCATGCCATATTGTTTTTATCATGGACTAACCGGATAATTTCCGCCCCTTTTCTATCCAATTTTGTTTTCAATGTCAGTATATTTCAGAAATATTTCAGATACTTAAATCTACTTAGCCTCTTAATAGATTCTTTGAATTGTCATTGATTAGGGAGGTACATATTTCACTCCAAAAGATTAATGACCATAAATCATGATCTTTTTGCTGGTTTATAATTTCCTTCTGAACCTTTTCGGTCACTTTACCAGGAACAGCATAATCACTTTTCCACTGTTACTGTGCTTCATTCCATATTTTTGATTAACAGTAAGTTCTTTGCAAAATAAGCCACTATCTTTTCTATATTTATTAAAAAGGGGGGGGGGAAAGCAATATAACACTCGTGGGTTTGATTATATGAATCACATAAGAATTCGTAATTTAAAAGAATCAATATTGATTACTAAGAATGAGCTTGATGTCTGGCTTGTGTAACTGCATATGGATTTATGTTCATATTATAAAAGCTGACATGATGTCAACTCTCACATATACGCTAGCTTAGACCTCATCATCAACCAAATAATTTATGCTTTAATAGAGTTTGGACAGTCTGTAAAACTTAAATATTTTCAGTTTAGTATAGATTAAATAAAAAGAATGCAAGGGATACAAGTTACGTTACTCGTTAAAAATCTTTCTGTTAAGAATCTTAAAAGGCCCTTACTGCAGCTCTGTGACTTCTTGGCTCTCGCGCATATGAAAGCTTATAGATTTCGTCTTCTGTATAATAAAGATCAAGGGACAGCTGAAAACAAACACAACATTAGTTTAATCCCAAAGCAGTCACTGACTTATTTGTTCTGGCACATACTAATATTTTTTGGTGGATTAATTATTAATTTAGGCTACAAGAAAAAAAGCACCTGAGCTGCCAAGGTATCGATAAAGACTTGAAATGGGTGTACTTCTAAATTCTAGTCTCTTGTGGCCATTATCTGGAAATCTGTAACATTACACAGCTACAATCATTAACACAGCAACTAACTGTAGGCATTTAACTAGCAGTCTGTTAATAAGTAACCTGAGACAAACATTGCTACCATGATATTAGTGTTCCATTGCGCAGCTAAGCACAGAAACACAGTTTCAATGAAACTGTCCATCAACTTTAATTCTCAGAAAACTTCTGTTTAACCATCTCATATTTATCCAATGCAGCTGTGGCTATATTGAACCAAGAGGTATATGATGAGGATAAAAGACGGGCTTATATTTAGTGAAAACCTTAAGCTGCCAACAAGAGTTGTATTAAGAGAGAATCACCACACCTGGATAAATAAAGGAATTTGAGAAAATTAGCAAGTTTGCCCATTACATCTTTGCTTGTGCATATGTCTTGGTAAATAGTAGAGCAAATAATTTATTGACTGGAAACAAATTTCAAGTGAAGACTGAAGAATGGTAACATGTTACCTGTTGAATATTTTTATGAAAATATTCGCACTGGAAACTTGATTGAATAAAGTTTAGAAAAGCCACAGGTCAATATGTTACAAGTGTCATTCTCTGGCAAGTCTGAAGACTACATAAACTTGTTACAGAGAGAAAATTTTAGAATTAGTTCTGAGATATCCCAGTGCATCAGTAAAGGTGGTGACAGTCATAGAAATAAATGAAAGAAATAAATGAAAATGTTATTTAATCCAAATGGCACAATCAAATAACATGACTGTAATTTCAGATACGCAACAAACTTCTTGTGAATAACTGAAAGAATTATTGTTGTAGTCGTAATAATGAATGATCTTAGATTCTTGGGGAAATCTTAAAAGTAGTTCCTGATACTCAAAAACCCAAAGAGCCCAAGTGCTAAAATAAGACATTTCTATGAATAACTCAGTCCTGTATGTAATTACTAATATCTCTTCAAACTCATTTGCCTGCTGATGTGAAAGCATGTAACTATAAGAAACAGAAGGAGGAGAAAGGCTATTGGAAAATCAGGGAAGGGAACAGGGAAGTTCTGTGCCATGGAATGTTAGCAAATGAAAAGCTATTTTGAAACTGAGTATTTATTTTAATCTATATCCTGTATATATACCTACATGAAATTGTGACCAAAGTTCTACATATTTGTAAAGAGGCACTTTTATAAGACATTATTGAAAAAAAATTTAGGGACTCAAAAATTTGGGAGAAAGCATTTAAAATATTTTGCAGGAAGAAATTCACCAATTTACATAGCTCTACTGGAAGCTCTGAATAGCCCATTTCAGGCCTTGGGCTTGTGTGCTTGAATTCATACATGCGTGCTCTCAGAAAGAGCAAATAAAAATAGTCGTGTGCTTCAAGTTATTCATTAGTTCTTTACTGAAACAGAGCCTGTAATCAGAAAGTGAAACGGGCCTATCTAGCTTTTCCAGTCTGAGGTACTTGTAAAAGCCAAACAAAACAGTGAGAAATAAGATAGGTACATTTACTATTTTAATAAAACGTAGCATTTTAACTTACTAGGAGCGGCTAACACTACTGTTGTGACTTATATGCTAGGTAGTGTTAATTTTATGTTAATAAGATAGCACTAGCTAGATATTACTGGAAACATAAAAATTAGTTAACTATAGTGTATTTGTTATGTCAGATAGCTAGAAATGGAGTATGTTTAACCCAATACATCCTGAGAGACTGAAGTCTTCCATGAAGCTTTTTATGTTCAACATGAGGCAGCTTTTTATGCGGTCTCCTGTCTTCAAGGTATACTTCACCTAAGCAAGTGTTCTACCTTTCTCCCTATTTAGCCTTAAACAGCAGATAATTCTTTCTTATGATAAATACAGAAAGAACGTTTGCTACTGTAGTGAAGCAGGAATAAATGTCTCCCTCACTCTTTACAGAAATAATTGGAAGTATACTCCTGAACAGACACCTCTACCCTTGTTGCCAAGTAAATCAGTATAACTAACTTTTTCTCCTACTGTTGTCCATTTCCTTTTAAAAACTCTTAAGACATTATGCATTTATAATTAATGGCATCCTCTACTTGAGAGGTACATGAAAATCATTTTGAAAATTGAGGTTATTTCTCTTATCTATCAGACTTACTGTAAGCAAATGAACAAGGTCCATATTAGCCTCTAGAGGAAGAGGCATTTCCTGGAGTTGTATCAGCTCATTTATGTGGTTATATAGAGAGTAAAGTTTGTGTATGTTAATTTTTTTGTCCTCTAAGTAGTCTGGCATGGCCTCATAAAGCGATATCAGGTCTTTCAGGTGGACACCAAGGATTGGAATCTTAAAGCTAGTACACTCGTTATAGGCACGTCGATAACTGTCATAGTTTCTGTAAGATGAAAGCAGTTCTGTCATTTCATTAAATACCTAAAAATAAAAAGGGAAAAAATTAGTTACACTTTCTGGTCTTACGGTATAAGAACTTCTCATGTTATTGCTAAGAAGTTTACTCCCAATGATTCTCAAAACAGATTAAAAATTTTTGTTTTATTTAAATCTTTAGGCTTCAGGTGAAATCTTGGTTCTCATATCACTTAATTTAACTATCTAGCTTAGGTGCCTAATCTGAAATGCCAGTTTTCCTAGGTTCCCTGTTGAGTCAATGAAAAGAAATGGTACCCTCTCAAATAAGGGGATTGTGTTGGCTGATGTGTTTGAGAGAGAATTACAAGTTACCAGTCATATCCTAACCTTCATAAAAGCAATTATCTTCAAATTAAAATGTGAATTGTGCTTCTCTGGCTTCTTGACCATCAGCTGGACTTGCCGCCTAAAAGTCCTCCTTGCAGAAAAGCCTTCTGCTGTGCCATGGGCCCATGACAGCATGACCAGAACTGGTGGCACATCTGTGCTTTTAAGGTAACATTTTTTCCCCTTGGAAAAGAAGGACTAGTTATAAAGGCCAAATGGATCTTCAGTCTAGCAATATAGATATTTCCTTTTTTAAAAAACTATATAGACACAAAGCTTTCTTTTAATACTGAAGTCAGTCCACCAATGTCTTCAAGTGGAAGTACCTGTCTAACCTCTTCCTTTCTTAGGCTTCACAAACTAGAATTTTTAGTCAAACTTTAAAGTATGTTCTCAAGTAATTCCCAGCCTTCTACCTGCTTTCTATTAAGCCTCGTTTACAATTTCTTGATGCAGAAAGTTATTCAAATGATGGACATATGCGTAGTCCATTCCTTGTAAGGATAAAATTTGAAAGTTAAGCTGCTTCTAAAATAAGCTTGCTAAACTGATTTTATAGATCTTGACAGCTGCAACTGTAGCAGTGGTAAGCTAGGGAATCAGAACACGGTTTTGAGAAAAACACTTTACACAAGAAAAATGTATATTTCTAATTGTCATTAGGAGCAAGTTAAATGATTCAAAAGAACTGAGTAATAAAGGGAGGTCATAATTCCAGTTCATACTCCAAGTCTGCACTGTCCATTAAAGCTGTTTAAATGTACTGGGATCCAAAGAGGTTCTTCAGACACCTATAGGAAATAGGCTCCCAATAATACCAATTCCTGGCCCCAAATACGATTCACTAACAAAGCATATTAGTTTCTTAGGAAGGAGCGATCAAAGTCATTTTATCGCTAAAAATATGCTTTTTGTCACGGTTTTAATAGCTGGAATCTCAGCAAAAATACATGCATTCTGTATCTCACAAGAATTAAAATGGAAATTACAACTGATCCCTAACATTCCACCGTATTACACTGCATGTGTATTAGGGGTAAGTTTGTTCAAGTCTGAACTAAATAAAATTCATATCAAAGAGAATGGGACCAGATGAACAAAAGAGGTTTTTTCAGTTTTAAACTCTGAAAGTGCAGATGTCTGTGCTAGCGTTTCATACATGCAAGGTGGTCAATGCTCTTATAGATGGCGTGAGTTTTGTTCTCAAATTCTCTAGGATCCAGTTATCTGCTTTAGTGTTTGAATGCTATCATGTACTGTTTCATGTAAATGAAAATGTAGCTTGTCATATCTGAATATTAAAAAGGTAACTTTAAGGAAGCTATATAAATCTTGAAGAAAGGAGAGTGTGTATGTGTAAGAGCATCTGGGGTTGCAGACATGAAATGACAAAAAGAATCCAAAACCAAGAGATGAGGAAGGCTCCCTTTCTCTGTCTGACCTAATGAAATAAGTTTGTTTTTTTACATGCAACTGAAAAAAGGAAAAGAAATTAAATGTCATATTATTTGTAAAACTCTGAGAAGCAATACCAACCTTAATTACATCATGAGGAACATAAGAGCTTGTTTCCTTGAGTCTGGAAATGGAACTGTGACAGAGACCTCCTATCACTGCCATTAACGTATTGAAATTCTGCAATTGGTGGAGTTTCTGTGTTGACATACAAACAACCAATATTTGTTATTTAAAAGTTCAAGTTGTTCAATGGGTACATCCAAATTCTACATTTTTTGTTATTATTCAGGATCAAAGTCTTAAAAGTTTGATTCCACAATGCATTTCATTTCACTAATTTTGATAACAAAATTACCAAGTCTTCAAAGGACTCCTCTGTACTTCCTCTTCTCGTCGTCTACTACAATATGGAAATATTGCCTATTATCTTGGTTATTACTGCAGTTGAACTAGTATGCGGACAAAAAATAGTGTTAGGAACACAGTTTGGCTTCTGTCCAGTAAGGGATATCTGGTGGAAATACTTCGACTTATGGCCAAACACATTTTAGCGATTCATGCTTTAGAAAAGAGGTAGGCAATTACAGCTGTGGAAATCTCAGCAGCTGATTCAAAAGCAAGTCTAGTTTTTTGGTGAAAATGGGTTTTTAGAATGGATATCATGAGAAAGTCATGGTGCCATTTAAGATATTGCCATATGCGGATATGAAATGTAATACGTGTGCCATGAAATCACAGCATACACAAATACATGCGCTATATGTATGAAACCAGGAGACGACTGCCAATTCCCCTTTCATAGCTGGCATAACAGTAATTGTGAGGGAAGGGCAACTAGACAGCTGTTTCAGATAAAGACAAAATAAACACCAAGTGAGTCAAAATTAAACCGACCTGTGCAACATGAATGAATTTGATGAATACTTCAGCCCGGAGCTGTGGTGTTGGTCTGCTGAGAACCATTAGCTGTACCCACTGGGAGATACCATTGCAGAGAGCGATTGACCTTTCCATTGTTGGATTCTCCTTCACACAACTATTCACAATGTAGTTCTGATAATCTGAGAACTTAAAAAAAAAAAAAAAAAAGTATAAATGAAAATTCATCTTCAGTCTCATATACCTCATGATCTGCATGCAGATACAAGTCTAGTTTTCAAATGAAATACTTTGGCATAAGATATATTTCATACCTTGACTATCCATCAGATTGTAATCTCTCCTTTGTCAAAGCTTTGCTCAACTCAGAGCAGCTCTAATGGAATTAGCTGAAAGCATCTTTTCTCCATAATTTGTATCACATCATCTGCATCAAGTACATTACATTTATGAACAAATATTTGGCATTTCTCTGCTTATAGTGTCTCCAATTGCTTTGACAGTTCTCTGAAGACAGAAAAACTTACAGGTATATTATGTTTGTTTTGCTTTACTAAGAGAGTTCTAAATTTAGAAAGGGTAAACACCTTTCAAATAGAGTACCTCCCATAGCGAAAGGCTTTCAGAAGTGGCATAACTAAAGAGTTTCTTTAGAACCATGAGTATGCCCTGTGTATTCAAAGGGTGAAGTTCTAGACAGAAATCTACCGATAACAAAGGAGCTCGCTTAGGAAGGACATGCTTCAGCTTCCCTGACTGTAGACATGAAACTGTCTGTCCTGGTCACCTTGACTCTGTCTACAGTCCTTGGACAGCAAGCACCTCTAGAGGATGAATTAATGCAGTCTTAACATCAACAGCACTGATTTCATTCTGGAGATGCTCATCCCCTTCATCAAATATAAAAGCAGACTAGACAACTAATCAACTAGAAACCTAGTGTTTAGAAGATGACAGATTTGGGTGAATTCTATCCCAAGCAAAAAAATATGCACTGATAATATCCAGCAGCTATCACAGCAGCTAAAGGTAAGCTACTAAGCCCTTTAATTCAAAGGGGCAAAAAGAACAGTGGATGGCCAATACCACCTTTATTCATGTTACAGAAGAGAAAGCAAAATAATGATTTGGAGGAATGATATTTTGCAGATGCTTTTCATGCTAACCCTTCCAAGAAAACGGGTCACAAGAATACGCTGGATTGCATGGATCCTCAAGGAAAGGTCATAAATTGTAAAGTTGTTGTATGTTTCTTGCTCGCTCATTCTATCTCCAACTTTTTTCCCCATCCATTTAATAGGAATTATTAACGCTTTAAAAAACAAAGATGACAGCAGACATCTCTGCATTCTTCCTCTTACTAAATTAAGATGAAAGAAATATTAACAGTAATAAGTAGTGCTGTCCCTCAGATTATGCAGCACTTATAGCTATTGTTCGAATTTTGAACCAAAGCCAGATTTGGCTAGATCTTGAAATTTAAGCAACTACTCTATACAGATAGATAATTTTTCAGTATCTAACTATATAATTACTGTCTTCATAGTAGCTTCAGTATAATTATGAATCAGTTTGATTAGTCTGTATTTTGCTCCCAGCAGCTTTCTCCTTGAGAAAGGATATTCCTTTTTTCAAATGTGAACAAAATTATTTCTAACATACTACTCAAAGTTGCAAAATAATTTTGGTGCAAGAATTTATTTAAAAGGTTAGCTGTTACACGACTATTAGCAGCAGATACAGTAAAGAAGTCCAGGTACTCGAAGGATGCAAGAGTGGTGTTAACGGTGACTAACTCAAGAGCCTCAAAAGGAAAGCAGAATCCAGATTCTTAGGAGATGTCTAGGCTCCCAACATTTTGTAGTTATATATTAAAAAGGGTTTCCAAACGCCAGCATACCTACAGTCATTATTCTGTGAACCACTCCCTGAATTTCTTTGCTGCATGATACATGGTGTCTTGTAGAAGATTTTGGTATATGCTATATATGGTTAGAGAATTAAACATTCCTTTCTGACTTTGTAATGACTGAACTTATGAGTAGTTATCCCAATGACTGATAATACTGTCTCTCATTTGCACTCTCTCTCCCAGGATATGCTGCCATATTAGAATAATACAAATAATAATAGGATTCAATGGCTCAGCATTTCATGAATACCCTCTGCAAAGTTAATGAATAGAAAGAGTTAATGCATAGAACTATTTAGTAATAAAAACATTTTCTGATCCAAGCTTTCAGTAAACTAATGTTTTAATTTAAATTTATAAACAAAATTTATGCAGGGACCCATGTTCCACAGGTGTCTAACTGGTGGAATTCTATGACAAAACAGACTGTGACTATGCATCATACCTGTTATGCTCATTAATCATTAATGACTTCATGCCTGCACAGAGCTTTGAAAATGTTAAGAGTTATATAAGCTTTAAGTATTATTGCTGCCTACAGGTAGCAGTCTATGCTTGACTTTGGTCCCACAGCTTTTTGAATTTAACACAACACATGTACCTTCAGCTCAAAATAAAGTACAAGTGTACAACTAAATGTAGAACTCTGAAATCTGAGAGTCCCTTTCCTGCAAGGCTTCATCTTCAGATTCTAGATTGCTATCTTTTATTTGCTCTCACTGTTACTATCACACTAACTTTGCCATCGTCTTAAATTTTGGTCTCTAGAGTTCACTCTTTTGTTTCACATGCAAACTGTACCAAGCTTGAATAGTAGTAATGCTGCAGCATATACGGATGTAAATGAGGCCAAGGTGTGTTGGGAAGTTAGTGTTTTATCAGATAAGCAATAAAGCTAAGGAAACAAATCAAATGAAACAACAAAAATAAGGCAACCCCGGAGAACAGTTTCTGTGCCTGAAAGCTTGTCTAACAAAATATTTACTTTCCACTGCAAGCAAAATCTCAATGGCATTTTCAAATGGCATTTTTCATATCCCAAATCTTTACTTTGTTAAGCACAACAAAAAATAGCAAGCAGACTCCAGTGGACCTCTTACATGTAGAGCATCCCTTAGACACTGCAAAGGAATGCTGCATTGTTTTCTACTGCCGCGGGAAATTAGTATTATAGGAGATACCCCAAGTTTCCTTCATCTCATTTTACCCTGATTACCGATTTGAGTCAAAGGAGGCTGCTTATTCCACTGCACAATTACACCACTTGTTAAAATAAAAACAGATTATTTGGAAGAGGATCAAACTGTTTGCTCCTCTTCTTTCCAACTGACCCTGCTCCAATTCTGTTCCATAACTGCTTAAAAGGTTCACTGCCTGAGTATCTCCCTCTCATGAATGACTGCAGCAAAAAGGTACGTACCAAGAATAAGTATTATTGGCTATTTCAACACTAGTAAAACAAAAAGAGCCTGGACACAGAATCGTGTAGCAGCATGTATCTGTCCATACACTTAGTGGTCAGCCTACTCCCTGGTAAAATTTTAGCTCATGCCAGCTAACACTCTCAATAGCAGCTGGTTATGGTGCGGGGGACAGCACAGACCATGGAGTGTTCCCAATACACAGAACAGGTCAGCCCACTCAGTTCTAGCAGACGTGATAATTTAGCCATTCGGGCATGAGGTGAGCAGTGATTGCTCTGCTTAATCTCAGGGCCACGTGATAGGCCTTCACACACTTCATCTACCTACACCAATTGATACACAGATAACTGGTTTTCCAGTGGATTTTGTAACCAGCCTTAATCTTTCCAAGTTTCCTCCCCCACAATCATTTTGACAGTTTGTTCAGTCACTTGCACTGCAGGGTTAATATGGTAATACCAGCCGTCTTCCATCTTTTCTACCAGCTTCCCACCTTTGTTTAAAAAAAAAAAAAAAATTCACTTACCGATATTCTTCTGAAAGACTTAAATTCAAGATAAGTAAGGTGGTCCGAGAGCTCCTCTGGCTCAAGGTGATCAAAAAGAAGAGAGACTTTCCGTTTCTTACTGGTGTTGGCCTTTACACGCTGTGTCAGCTTTCTAGACCAATCCCTGGAATTTCTTTTAGACAAATTTTAAAACAACCCTGAGTTATCTTCTGCAGAGCAAACTTTTCCCCGTAACAGAAAACACAGTTACATTTTTTCATGCTTTACAGCAAAAAAAAGTGAATTCTTGAATTTCTAAAGAGCAAGCTCTTTTCACTCATTAAGCATTTTATGACAAAAATGATTTTGTCGGTCTTCAAGTATTATTTTAATGTAGCATGAAAATACAGTACAACTATGTTACTAAATAACATGAGAACATGTACTGCACTTTCTCAAATCTGCTGTCCCTAATTTTCTGTCTCCATTAAATATATCCCAGTGCTCTTCCATTTAATAATTCTCAACAGATTTCATTGACAAGCCTCTGAATATGAGATGTTACCCTACACTATTTGTCTATGGAGTAACAAGATTTAACTGGTTTTGAAAAATCTAAATATCCTCCTTCATAGCCAGATATGGAATGTATGTCAAATTCTGCTCTGTTCTACCTGTGCATTTCCAATCCAAGTGTGAATTTACGCTGCTAGACAGTTCCACAGAGCTATCTTATTCTTATATAAAAAGGACGGCTCACTTCCCAAGGCAGAACTCTGTGAAGTATAGCTGCAGGATGTAATTGTGCAGGATATGCCATTTTATAACTAAATTCAGAGAAATATCAAAAATTGAAACATCAAGAGCTGGTCAATGAAATAAACTACCCTCTCACTGAGCTGTGCCTTTAAAAATGCTTGTGTATTATCTGATTAAAATATATTCTCCTTTCTCATTGACTTCAAGTAATCTTTCAAAATCTTTCGTTCTCTACACATTTTCTGAATTTCCTGCCTAAAGTAAAATTTATCTAGCACAGAGAATCAGCACAAGGCCTACATGACAGTCAAATTCAACCTAAGCCATTCTTAAAAGCCATTCTACTTCTTTACATAATATATATTTCATCTATACGGATGAATAAACTCTTGTGAGGATAGATAACATAGGACTGTTACCCTGCAATAGACTAAAACTATCCTTTTATAAGACTATTATCCTGCCATGCTGAAGACATAGTATATTTGAATAAAAGAAATTTGAAACTAAAAGTTTGTTTCCCAAGCATATTGAAACTCTGACACTCACATTTGAGTTGTGTCAATTAGATGACAGTGTAACTCCTCACCATTAGCTTTTACCAGTTCTTGAAATTCCTCCATAGTTTTGGTTAGTTTGGAATCCATTTTGAACATAACCCAGAATTCTGTAATCCAATACCTATTGGAAAGTGAAAATATAGGGGGGGTTGGGGGGGGGGGAAGAGAGAGAGATTGCACTGTAACATCAGTAAGACTGAGATGTAGATAGTTTTTCCTGTTTATGGTTTGCATTTCTTCTTGATGAACTTCAGGGAATAAATCTTGCTTTTAAATGCTTTTACTAGAGTATTTTGTTTTATCAGAAATCTAAAATTCAAGATTAAAAACAGAAAAACTAATGAGAAACAATCTGGTTTAATGCTGTGTAAAACTGCTGACCATATACGTTTGCAACAAATTCATTGTTAGTATTTCCAGTTTCATATCATATCTAGATAACACACATACTTCTTTCTTCTTTATGAGCTTGTAGAATTTGACCAAATTCTACAAGCTTTATATATTCACATAAAGCTTGAAATTATTTGATCTGAACATTAAAAAAGTGCACTATGATAGTAAGAATTTAATCTATTAACTGGAGAAAAACGTTACCCATTAAATACATAAATATATTTAATAATGTACAGGTGATTCAGTTTCATTTAAACACACAAAATATTTTCTGAGACTACACTTCTGTATGCTAGGCATTCAAATTGTTTCAGTCGTATAAATTTCAATTCCTTAGTGTGCCTTGTGACCCATGCATGTGAAAATTTGTGCTTGTTCCAAAAATGGAGATATACATTCCTAAGGACACAATCATGCATGAATTCTGCCTGCAAGCAAAAACGTTCCCAGATCACACAAAATATCAAAGCATTCTGACCTAGCCAATAACCTTGAGAAAACAGAATCCTTACCATAAAAAAAAAAAAAATTCTTACTTTTGTTAACTGCTACCACTTATTCCTCATTTTAAGTAAAGGAGATATAATATATGCCAATCTGTTAGCACAGTCAAATCCACATTTTCTCTCTCCTGTTTTCTCTAAACTAAAACATGGAACTTTGTATTGCACTTAATTGAAAAGAAAAAGTATGACCCATGATCACTGGAAGTGACAAAGGATAATGACCTATTGAAGACAATAGTTTTACCTAATATAAAAATAGCTGCAATATCTCACTTTTACTTTTTTTTTTTAATAGACCTACAATATAACATTAGACACAATGTTACCTATTCCTGAGCACTGTCAGTTTTCACTGATGCACACAGATTCAAAGAGAATCAGTTCAAAATTATGATCCAATCAATTCTTGTACTCACCTTAATGGATCCGCACAAGGCCATTCGAGCATTTTTGTGTCAAGCTGGTTAAGCAAATCTTGAAAAGCTGAAGGAGTACAACTGTTTCTCTTTCTAATGTCAGCTTAAAATAGGCAAAAGCATTCTTATGTATGGCACATGGACAGCTACAGTTTAAAAACTACCAAACGAAAAATATTCTTACCTCACAAAATAGCATATCTTTACACACAGCATGGAAGATTTATTTTCTAAAGCATTAAGATAGGTAGAAAACTGTTAAGGAAAACCATAGCCATTCGTACACAGCATGAAACATAATAAGCCTGATATTTCCCTACTTATAATCAGTAGGAATCACTCCACTGATGTCATTTAATATCAGATTAAGGTTTTCAACAAAACACACACAATGTGCACACCAAGATTATTAGCAGACGTGTGTGGTAGATGCAATAGCTGTAAGTACTGCTGACATACCCGCCCAAGCACTGCATAGTGTTAGGTAGTGAAATGAGGGTTTTTTATATGTGCTCCTTTGAAACCTGCTTCACAATTTATTATAAGACTCCTGCACTCACGCATCTCACTAAATTATGAAATAATAATACCAAATTCATCAAGGATTATTTTTATGAAGAAATACTCTTTAGTTAATTATGATTCACTAGAGCTTTTTCTCCAAAATAGATGCCATTCCTATTTAAATATAACGAGTTATATACAACAGTGGAGAAAAATCTGAAACACCTTTTCTTACTAACCTAATCTCTCTAGCTGTTCCATAGTTTTCATCTGACATACTGAGATAGCTGGGAAAAAAACCCCACATTTTTTAGTTTGTTAGGCCTTTGGTGCAAAATATCATGTTTTTATAGAGTAATTAATTTCTTTTGAAGATATGGAAAATCTACTTGGAAAAACGTTATGCATATCTTGATTCTTCTGCTGTAGATTACACATACATTTTCAGTATTGCACAAAATAATTTCATGAACATATCTGGCAGACCCTCTCGCAATCTGACTGAATTTGACTGCAGCCTGAATCTACTGCAACTTAGGGAATATACCATCCATCCAAGATTCAAGTGCCAAGATTAGGTGCTTAGATTACACTGACTGTAGAGCTAAAGAGGTTTGAATAGGTACCAAAGTATTTTGAATGGCTCTGAAATGAACAGCTGAAGTTGGTTTTTGATGATGTGAACGCCATCTATCTAAATACACTCAAATACTTTCAGGATGGAAAATGGTGAAACTGGGATATTTCCAAGTTTTTTTTAAGTACAAACCCCCAGATTATATAATCCAATCAAATCTGTCTTAATTTTTCACTGATTTTGCAGGGAGCTATACGCAGAGTCAAAATCCAAGCATGCAAAGCACGCAAGTCCGGTAAAAGTTTGCATCGCTTCTCTGATCACAGAAAGTGTTACTTCCCAGAAACAAGTAAGCAATTAGCAATTACTTTCTTCCATTTTCAAAATAGTGCAAAAGCCTAAATTTAACAAGACACTACACCACACTGGTAGTGTGGTACATTTGATGTAACGTTTACTCCATATGAGAGAAGCAACAGGATGGTCAGAATCTAAGGTTATAGAAAATCTCTCTTGTAAAAGATGCTGCCTTTAACCCTATGAGATACAGAGCTTGGGGGAAGAAAGGATCATCTAAAACAAATCATACCAAGATTGACTAGAGATTCTCGTCATGTAAAGCCTGCTTCCTAATTGCATTGTGCTCAACTATTTAGGAGTAAACATTCTGTAAAGCCAATAAGTCAGGTAATATATTCCACAATTAAAGATTCCTAAATAAGACGGACTGATACTGCCAATATAATTTTAATAGCTTTACTGTGAAAATCTAATGAGCCACAAACACACTTACGAATCCAGTCAATGACTTCAAAACAGCAAAAAAATCAATAAGAAGATATATTTTATAATTAAAAAATATAATATAATTTTCTTCAGTGCACACTGTAATTTTGAGTGTGTGTGTGAGAAATAGTATCTGTGGAAATGTTTCATCTCCAAATGATACAATCGGACTTAGGATATTTTCAAAAATTATAGCTTTTGGTCCTTGTCCTTCTACTTGTATGGAGAGAAGAGATCTGAAATTTAGACCCAGGTTCAGAGTAACTAACTGAGGTGCCTAAATTAATCTAACAGCTGTTAGACGTTTCCTTTATAGCCAAGGGAGGGTGAATTATCCTAATTAAAATCTGATTTGGAGTTTCACCTTGTCTCTGTGGATCGTAAGCAAAGTAGTTAAAGATTGGTATATTGCTTCATTAATAGAACTGTAATAGACCCATAGATTAAACATCCTCTATTCACGCACTTCAGTGTATAACTGATTTTACCTTAACAGAAGGTGAATATTACAAAGGATATAGATCAATGAGTTTCTGGAGCATGTCCGCAGAGGAGATGATAAACTGATGCATAGTCAGAATTATCTTTAGCAGGTGGTTGTTCTGATATGCATTTCCTTCTAAATCTGAAAAAAGAAGGTGGAGTATTCTTATTGGAATCTTACCAAAATTTGGTAAACAGCATGCAAGAGGCTTTTTCAGCATCCTAATTTTAATCAGACCTGTTCACTTGCGCTATCTTAAGGATAGCGGTTACTTACTAAGTTAGGAAGCGCATCATTTTTCTGATGAGAGCTATATAATACCAATTCATTTTTTACACTGTATTACCATTACAAGGATCTAGAAGCAGAAAAAAAGTTGTCTCTCAAAAGCACTCAAAATATTCAGAGATAAATATGCATACTGATCTCAGCCTAGCAAATCAGTAAAACAAACGCTTGACTTCAGGAAGATCAGTATATCCTTTGAAACAAAGTAATAAATTAAAGCACAAAAGAATTAGGTTACTGATCCTGATCAGTCAATCAGTGGTATGACTGAACTTAAACAGAATGGAGATATTCTTATAAGTGCATGTGAAGTTTTTTGCTCAGCTGACATACATATTGCCAAAAAATACACACAAATTAGGTTCTATACATAAACATGAATGCAGCAAGATATCACCTAGGCAGAAGTCCTGGGACAGTAACTCATGCATACTCTCAGGGTGGACCCAAATGTCCCAACACACATTTTCTTAAGCTTTTCATTATATGGACTTCACTTGAAATAGGTTTTTAAACTACTCTATCTTCTGTTTTTCTCCTCTGTATTTGGAAAAGATCAAGATCAAGGGCATCAAACATGCCCGACTCTTTAAAGTTTGCATTTCTGTAACGAACACTGTAGTGCAAGTGTTTTGCAAATATTAAGAGAGGTTGTTTTTGTATAGACTGATGAGAGAACCTAGCTGGTTTGCACCAGTATTGGACACCCTTCCAAGCATAAAAGAAAATTTATTTTTTGAGTAGTTTTAAATATATTGTCCTATATAAGGATACTTGTAATGATTACTCAAAACATCAGTAACAATAGCTATATGTAGAAACAATGCACAATAAGGCAAAACAAGCAGCAGGTAACAGCAGGTTCGCAGCATACAAAGCAGTATCTATTACCGTAGGAAAAACACATTTTTAAATTCTACAACACTGAAAAAGAGCATTAAACTTAGTCCACTAACAGAACAATATAATTTAAGTTAGTCACTGAGCAACAATTTCCATGCTCTTAAACAGCAAGGTACCAAATGTGAAGAGCAGATCCCAGTGCCAAGGCCTTCTCTTTTGCACAATAATTTGCATCTTTAGTAGAACTAATAAAGCCTGATTTCCTCTAGATCTGTCCTCTCCATTCTTCACTCCACAACAGTCCTGCTCATGTCCTTTATCACCTTACTCTTCCATGAAAGTCCTCTCCTCCCCTTCCTCCACATCAATGCTGTACTACCCACCCATACTACTCAAAGCTATCAGCTACACAAAAGGCAACACACGCTGTGATTGACTCTAAGCTGACTGGCCAGACAGCAATCAAACTGGACAAACGCTGGGCTCATACAGCAGCCCTTCCACAAACGCAGGCACCAGTATCTCTCTTCTACACAGCCAATTTACACAACATTTATAGGAAATTAATCTTTGAAACTCCTCTCTTTCCATTAAATTTAGTTTAAGCTGGCAGACAGATTGACCCTTTAACTATTTCGTGAAAAGTAGACTAGTTCAGTGGGAGCGTGACTGAGGATGCCCTAAGCCTGAAGTTCACAAATGAAGTTATTGTTTTAGCTGCCTCTTTCTACCCCTGAAAGCAGAGGACATGCCGCATATCACATCTGGTGTGAGTAATTTCATTTTTCTACTAGAAGAGTATTCAGTTTGCCGGAAACGCAATACAATGAGGAGTCTTGAAATCTCTTACTGCAGCAAGCCTGTCAGGGAAGACAGGCAGAAGAACACTGATCAGTGAATCCTGCAGAGCCTCTGTGACCATGCATCAGGCCACTCAGCATTATCGAGCCCAGAACAGGAATATTAGCATCAGGTCATCTTCAAAACTGAAGATACCTTTTACAGTCACAACTGAATTGTTTTTGTGGATCAGGCTCCTAAGGAGCAATGCTATCTTCAGGTTATACACGAGGTGAAAGTCTGTGTGTCCTATAGCCACGTAAATGAGGTATAGTATCGAGTATCCGTGCCAATAAGCTAAAAGAAGGAGGGGAGATTTAAAGCAACCAGCGCTCAGAAAACCATCAACAGCATTATAAATCACAGATTTATAAAAAGTAACAAACCCAAAACATATACTTCCTTCTGACTGTCTGTACATAATAGGAAATAACAGGAAATAAAATTTGTCCTAAAAGTGATATTACTTTGTAATTCTAGAATACTCAATAATGCACAAGAGGCAAAAGTGTCCAATAAATATTTCTGTTCTAGTATTAAACAGAAATGACAGTTAACGTAGTCAGATTATAAAATTAAATATTTTACATTCCAATCACAACCAAGGAAACCATTAACCAGATGCTTAGTGAGCCTAGTTTCTCCTAAATCAGTGACTTATCTTTTTAAGATTTGTTCAAAGAACTGACCAGAGTCATCTTTGGATAGTTACTCCTAGACAGTAAAGCTTAAAATCTTTAGTAAGTTACAAAGAATTAAGAACACTAACCCATCTGGAAAACACAGAACTGGAGTCAGTCGTTTTACATTGTATAATCGTTTTAAGCTTCATTCACTAATCACAAAGTCAGCAATTCTGTCTTTATTTTTGCTTTATTTCAATCAGAAGTAAGTTACGAAAAATGGATCTTATTAAGATAAAAAAAAAAACAGGCCTGAAATCCCCTTTAAGAGTTGATGCAGTAGATATTAGCCCAACATTTTAAGGCCGACATCTGTGCTAATATCACCCATTAGGACAGAAGCAAATCGTTGAGAGTTCACATGATCAGCTCATCCAGCAGACCCAGGGGATAACAGTCTCTCTGCAATGGAGCGCAACAACAGCTGAGCCAGTGGGCAGTAGCATCTCTTATCAGCTCCATTAGAAACTCAGAAAAGCTCTAACCAGCTTAGAAAACTAGGCTCTTAGAAAACAGGTCTGTTTATAGCAAAATATTGATGCAGAGAGTGCAGTGGAGAGTTAGGAGAATAAGGTGTACTGTTTGCCTCCAATTTGGGGTCAGCAGAAAATTTCCTATGTGCTGCCATTGCCAATGTGGAGTTTAAAGCTAAGCTTCCAAAAGATAACAAACAAACGCCACTACATCTACACTAAGAATAAGACAGGAAAATTCCTGGAGATAAATCTTTATAGGGTTATTCTGAGCCTCTTCTTTTAATACAGTGACAGGTTTAAACTAAGAGAAGCAGCTGCAGATAGATTTAGAGATTTGTGTACTTTATAAGCAGTCCTTCCAACCTCCTGATTTCACATACTAGCTGAGCTCTAAGAACATGATGGGGCATTCACCACTCTTGAGAAACACCGAGTGTTCTGCTCAGCAAATGATTAAACTAAGACAATATGAAGAGCTTATAAATATTCTATTACAACCATAGGTACATCTTTGAAAGTCAAGGGCTTTTTTGTAGTCATGTGCAAGAATGATAGAAGACATTTTATCTCCTGCTTTAAAACGTCAGTATATAGGTTCAGATTCTGTTCAGGGAATCAGTAGAGTTAAAAACCCACCATCAGTACTCAGTATTTTGGACTGATTCAGTGCATGTTCCCACAAGGCAGCAGTCAGCAGCCAGTTCTTTGGTATAATATTCAATATATTAATTGTATTTAACCATCCACTGTTGTCTGTATAGATAAGAGAGAAATGCACTGTCAGTTGAACTGGAAATTAGATGAAGCAGGGTTCTTAAAAAATGACACAAAAAACTGCAGTTAGACAGAGTGTTGAATGACTGGAAGAGAATACTGACCAACAGTCTCCAAAAGGGGACAGAAGACAAGTATTGACTGTTTTGATACAGAAGTTATTCTAACAGAAGGAAGGTTGGGACAGCAGAGATTATGATACATAGCCATTTAGGATCCGTCATTTTTTACTCTTTCAGTATCTCCAGAAACAGTAGAATTATCCTAGACTTGCACACAGAGCCTGTATCAATTAATGCTCATTTTACAAATTTGGTTGATCTGCTAGAGCCTCCATCTAAGAGCTCTTATTTAACCAGAAAAGCTGTTCAACATATGCTTAACCTGGAGGCCAATATGGCTATGTGCAAACATATTAAGTATATACAACTGTAATTGTATCACCAGCTTTACATAAGCGTGCAATATAGATCATCTAAAGCAGATAAAGAGAGCAAAATCTATCTGAATACCTTGACAGTTTCTCTTCTGATAGGATTCCCAAATTCATTATCATGACATAACACAGGTTACTACTTTGCATGAGGTTCCCTATTGAATTTCTGTCCTTTAGAACTTTTTGATTTTGTTTCCTTTTTCACATGCTACAAAGATGCAGAGAAAAACAGTATGTTCTACCTACTGTTAGTGATTAGGTCAACACATTTACGAAACTTTCTTGTTTGAGAAAAGTAAATTTAGGCTTTACAACATCCAGACCTAATTATCTTACAACAGAGTAGGATTTTGTTATGATAACATGTAATTATTTTGCTCACAATAAAGCATTGCTAAGTTTTATGCTATCGATTCCCCCCCGCAACTAAAAGGCTCCATCTCCATGCACACATAAAAAAGATTGTATTAGTGATGATTTAAAAAGCAAAACCACCACCTTGCAGCCAAAAATCTTAAGTTTCCCAGTACAGTTCAACACTGAATAGCAACCCTGTACAGAATTGTAGCTGCACTCAATTTTATACACACGTTCAGTACTGAATGTTTAATGTCATCTTCCCGACAAATCTATTATGGAAGTACTTTCCATATGAATACACTATGATATGGCAAGTGTTCCTGCGAAGAAAACTATTGGGTCTGATTCTTCTTCCATTTGCTCTTCATAATTTCATAATTGATTCAACAAAATCCACAGAGTTAAACTGGTGAAAATGGGCCTGAGGTGAGCAGAGACTTC